ATTGACTCCTGCAACCAGGGCGTGGCAGCACAAACAGTCTCTTTTATACTCAGGAAAGGATTTTAATCAGCATCAGCTAAGCACAATCATCTCCTACAATGACGCAGGTGTTCCTTCCGTTGAGTAGCCCTTCGCCTGCATGCATCCTGAAACAACTCCCAAATGTTTTCCTGAACATTCCCTTTGATCCAATGCTCTGCCGCCACCTGGTGGCCAACCAGTCTCTCCTCGCCCTGCTCGGAGTTGACACCCTGTCCAGGGTCCTCCATCTTCTCCAAGGCCGACTCATAAGACTCCTCACTGTCGGAGTCTGGTGGCAGCTCCAACGGCACCTGCCGGGCCACAACAGGAACGTATCAAGGAGAAAACCAAACCTATAGTAGAACTAAAGAGAAATGCCCTGATGGTTTAATCAGTGAAACAGCTTGTCCCTAGTAGTTGTGGGAAGCTCCGACACTGAAGGTTTTTAAAGAAGAGATTGGTCAGTCATTTGTCTGAAATGGTCTAGGGTTTCCTGCTTGAGTGGAAGATTGAACTAAAAGACCTCCAAGGACTTCTAGAATAACTAGAAGAATAACTCTGTTGTTCTATTCTTTTGACAAACCCAGATTCAGAATGTAGAATACAGAATAAGAGAGTTGGAAAGGACCTTGAAGATCTTCTAGTCCAAACCCCTGCTCAAGGAGAAGATCCTATACCATTCCAGACCAATGATTGTCCTTGTCCAATCTCTTCTTCAAAATTTCCATTGATGGAGCACCCACAACTTCTGGAGGCATGCCATTCCATGAATTCATTGTTCTAACTGTCAGGAAATTTCTCCTTAGTCCTAGGTTGGATTCTCTCTGTTACTTCTTCTATTGCCCTTTACCTTTCTCCTTTATCTTTTTCCTTTACCTTCCTATTGTATTTTAGTCTTATCAGTGAGCTGGGGTTGAGAAAAAGGTGGAGTGGAATTGGAATGTAAATGAATGCTTGCATTTAGAAATATTTCCCCCTGGGACACTCAGGATCTTCCTTTTATCTCTTCCTTGCCAGGGATCTGAATTTATGGTAATTTTTCTCGAAGTCCTGCTTGCTTGAAAGAATCAAAGGAAAAGTACAATGCCGTCCTTCCGATAAAAAGTCAAATCTCTTCCGAACTGTTTTTTCTGTCTTCTCTTTGGCAGGGGAGCAAAAGAGAGGGGTTTTTTTTTGCCTCTTGCCAAGATCTTTGTTTTGTAAGAAAAGGGCAACACTACACTGGCAGAGTGACCCACATATGTCAGTGGGATTCATAGTTATGCTGTGATTCTGCAGAAGTATCTGTTTCTCTTCCAAAATCAGCCAAGGTCAACTCAGTGCCGCCGTTTCTGAAGCTACAATAATAGTCATTGTATAAGTGGGGGCTTGTTCATGTGTGAACAAGGCCTCCTGAAATCCAAGAAGCCAGAATAAAGTCAAAGAGACGGCAATTTCGGCTGCCTCCCACTGTGTCCATCTCAAGAGGTTCCTTAGTTCTTCAAGGAAGTTTAGGAGATGGAATTCCAGAAAGTTTATCTAGAAGCGTGGCCTGACAAAACCGCGCTCGTCAAAATAGCGGCGACAAAACCGCCGCTGATAATATTGCGGTGATGACGGCTAAAGCCGCGATGTCATCACCGCAATATTATCACCGCGGCGACAACAGCGCGGTGACAGAAGGGCTCTTTAAAACAGCGCGGCGGCAGAAAGCTGATTTAAATTAAGGTAAGGGTTAGGAATAGGTTTAGGGGTTAGGTTTAGGGTTAGGTTTGGGTTAGGTTTGGGTTAGGTTTGGGTTAGGTTTAGGGTTAGGTTTAGGGTTAGGGTTAGGGTGCTGAGTGCTGAGTGCTTCGGAAGGTGCGGATTTGCCCTCCGCGGTTATGTCGTCGCGCTAGGGTCGCCTTTTTCCTTAGCGCTTCGGACGGCCCGGATTTGCCGTCCGCGCTTATGTCAGAGCGGATAAGGGCTTCGCGGTTTTGTCGGTGAACCATCTAGAAGGGGTGCTTGGTGTTTCATTACCCAACTAGGTTACATCATCAGTGCTAGAAGACACTGGGGTGTGCAGAGAGGAGGAGGATTATGGGGTCCTTGGTGCTCTCTGATCTTACTTGCAGATGTTTCATTACCCAACGAGGTTACATCATCAGGCTAGAAGGCAGTGGGGTGGACAGAGAGGAAGAGGACCCTGGAGTCCTTGATGCTCTCTGATCTTAGCTGTTCTCTTGCAGATGTCTCATTACCCAATGAGGTTACATCATCAGTGTTTGTCTAAGCAATGGTTGTCTATGAGTAGTCTAGGAATCAGCCACCAATTCAATCCATGTCCCTCATGGAAGGTCTTAAGTCCACAATTAAACTTAAATCCACAATTGAGTCCAATATTTTGATTATTAATCAGGACAGTTGTTAAGTGAGTTTTGCCCCATTTTATGACCTTTCCTGCCACAGTAGTTAAGCAAAACACTGCAGTTGTTAAGTGATTTGTGTGGTCGTTAAGCAAATCTGTCTTCCCCTATTGACTTTGCTTGTTAAAAGATGTCTGGGAAGGTTACCCAAGGTGATCCCTTGACCCTGGGACACAGCAACAGTCATAAGAACACACCAGTTGCCAAGCATCCGAATTTTGCTCACATGACCACAGGGATGCTGTCCTAGTCGTAAGAGTGAGTCACTTCAGTCACTTCTTTCAGTGCCATTATACATTTGAATCATCACTAAATGAATGTAAGTTGAGGACTACCTGTAGTCATTGCTTTTTAAAAAGTTATTATTTTATTAATTGCATTTATTAGTGCTTAATGAACATTGTGTTGTCGGGGCATTTAGTTTGCTTAACAATACAGATTGCATTCTTAATCTCCACTCTTTTCCCCAACCGTTGATAAAATAAATGCCACGTTTGATAATATTCCGTATCTTCTTTCCGGTTAAATTCTTAATAGTCAATCTGTCTGCAAACTCTAGTATTTTTAAAAATTATTTCTTCGTCTCGTGGTGTTCCTTCATTTTTTCAGGATTGCACCAATCCAATCCTCGCTGCTGTTGAAATGTGCAATATTAAATACATACTTTCCTTGTCTAATTTACTTGGTATTGTACTTAATAAAAATAATTCAGGTTTTAAATCTACATGCTTTCCTAGCTATTTGTGTATTTTTTTCCTCCAAATTGTTTTTACTTTATCACACATCCACCACATGTGACAGTATGTGCCCATTTTAGGATTACATTTCCAGCATTTGCTAGACATGATTTTCAACATTTTAGCTAACCTGGCTGGTGGTAAGTGTCATCTATAAAACATTTCATATAAATTTTCTTTATACAAGGTTTACTGGGTTCTTTTTTAATGTGTGTGGATAATGCCTGTTGAAATCACAGAAGCCACAATAGAGTCTCTTGTCAAAGGGGAATCCATGCTGCCTCCCACTGTGTCCATCTCTTCCTTAGTTCTCTGAATGTTCTGGCCTAGGTTTCCCAAAAGCATGAAGCCAACTCCTCGTCCCAATAAAACCCCTTTTATTAAGTTTAAAGGGAAATCCTCTCCAGCAAAGCCCCGGCCAACAGTCTTTCAAGAGATTTCACAACTACAGACCTTTATCAGGCTTGGAGAGCTGCCAGGCTGATATCTTCCAAACGCCACTCTCTAGCAGACGATACGTGGCAAGAAGTCAGGAACAGATCTTCACTCTAATGAATTAATTGTCTCTTGCAAACTCCCCTCCCCTTTGCTCCTCTTTATTCCCTATGGGAGGGGCCATTCACTGTCCTCCTGTGGCTTTACTCCCGAGTTGGCTCTTGTTCCTTAGCTCTTCCCTTCTCCTGGCAACTCTGCACATGCGCACACTGGGGACAGGCTCCAGTTGTTCTTCTGCCCCACTGATCTCTGACTCCAAAGGTAGCTGATAACTGTTGGACAGCGCTGGCCCCCTCTCTACCTCCGACATGGACTGGCCCATGTTCTTCCCCAACCTCCTCACTGTCCGAATCTGCCGCTAGATCCATTGGCCGCTGGCGGCCCACAACACCGAGGACTTTTAGGAGGTGAAACCCCAAAAGGTTTGTTTGGAACAACGGTGGTCCAAATATGGTCTAGGATTCGGCCATCACTACATTGCATCCTTGCCTCTTATGGAAGGTCAAGGTCACCTGTGAGTTGGCATTCCGTGGGGTCCATGCAACAGGATCTGCTCCCTCAACCATCTCTTGCCTTCTGTCCTAGAATCTCACCGGTTGCACCTGCCTCACCTTGGCCCCGGCCGGGGATACCACGGTCGTTCCTGGGAAGTGCCCCAGCCCTGGATGCCAAGAAGCCTTCCTGACATTCCTCTGTGTGATGTGCGTCTGCAGCATGATTGGAGCCATGGCCCAAACTCCCTCCGTCATCATCCTCATCAGGTAAGATCTTGCGCTGACAGGGCGGAGACAAGGAGGCCTCTGCATGGGAGGAAGTCCCAAGGAAGCATTCAAGGGAGTGGAGGATGGCTCTTTTGCTTTGGGGTCCTTTGATACTTTTGGATCTAGTTGTCAGGGTAATTCCAAGTAATAGACCCAGAGCAAGCAAAACTCCGAGGCAGGTGAATTCCTCAAAGAATGGCTTTATTGGATATATCATATGGGCACAAACCTTGTGGAAACCGACTCTGAAGGTTCCCATGGTTTTCACCTAATTAAAAGTTTTCCCCATCTCTCTGTGTGCAGTAATTACAGACAGAAAGACAGACAGACAGACAGATATAGAGAGATAGATAGATAAATAGAAGAGAGAGAGGGAAAGAGAGAGAGAGAGAGAGGGAAAGAGAGAGAGATAGATATAGAGAGATAGATAAATACGTAGGTAGGTAATTAGATAGATAGATAGATAGATAGATAGATAGATAGATAGATAGATAGATAGATAGATAGATAGATAGATAGATAG